TCCCTGCTTTTTTCAATTGGGATGAAATATTTGGGAAGGGTGAAGGGGGGCAGGGGTATGGGAGAAAAAATAAGAACCAAGACATATCATGTAAAGGTACAAGATCCCAATGATAAATGTAACTCTATTGTTTGCTTTAAATGTACTAATAAGTTTAATGGGAAAGAGAACCAACATATCATGTAAAGGTACAAGATCCCAATGATAAATGTAACTCTATTGTTTGCTTTAAATGTACTAATAAGTTTAATGGGCGGGAAAGAAGCAAAGAGTAGGAACACTGATTTTAAGATTGGCAGAGAAAACACCTAGCTAATGTCACTTGAAAATATGTTCGAAGAACATGATATATGGAAACAAAATAATTAAAAGAAGAATCACTGAGCTCTCCTATGAGCAGCAGATTCTGCTACAGCATCTGATTTAGTTTGTCTCACTGATAGTATGCGACTAGTGGCTTGTCTAGTTCTGATCATGCACATGGCACTTGTTAGACAGTGAGTAGTACAAAGAAATCCTGTCCAAATTACTCTGAAGGTAGCAGTGTCGAAGTATCAGCCCTCTACAACAGTGGCAAACTACCCAGGTATATAACAAATGAAGTCAATTACAGCGACTTAGAATTTTGGAGCTGAAGGATAAGAAATATTCTGTAGGTCCAGGGCTTTAGCTCAGTGGTTCCCCTGCCTGCCTCACAAGCACAAGGACCCATGTTTGATCCCAAGTATTCAAGTACCAAGTATTTAAATACCCAGTATTTAAATAGAAGGGGTCTATTTAATGTACTACCATTGTTGGAGAACAAGATAGTCTCAGTCTTTCAGTTAATTTGGAACCTGGCAGAGTGAGGGATTTTTAAAGCTCACACATAAGTATTGGGTTAGCTCCCTTATATTTTTCTTAATTTAGAGTAATAACTGATCTTGCAAAGGTCAGTCACCCTGCACGTTGCCGTGGGAAAGCCAAGTATACTCAGATTCATTTCTATCGTGGCAAAGCTAAATCTGGATGCTCTTTGAAAGGGCACTGAATTAATTAGGATCTATGCAGCAGATATATGGCAAACTGAGGAGTTCAGCCAAGGATAGTTTAACAAAGAGTTGGGGTAAAGAGAACCATAAAGAGATGTCGCAGAGCGCAGAGCTCAGGGAATGGCAACAAAAAAACCTGTAACCTCTCCTGAGCTTCAAAGGACTCAGAGAGGGAGGGGAATTACTGGAGGATAGAGAGTTGGAGCGATGCAGAGATACTTGGCAAGTCCTTCTGCCATAGGCAGTAAGCTAAGCCTCCCTGCCTTCTTGTTACTGCTGTGGAGCAGGAAGACGCTGGGGGAATGAGGCCTGGCCTCTCTCTTCTCCAGCTTGTGTGTACCTTTCTTTGGCACAAGATGATGGGAAGCACTGGGCAAACATGCCCTGGTGGTGTGGTGCTGTCTATGCAAGGCATCCTCCTAGGAGGATCAGGGGAGTGGATTTGAGGTTGGACATAATTTGGGGCATTGCTGCCTAAAAATGAAAGACTCTGCTCCTTCATCCTATAAGGTTGAAACCAGACATTACCTTGAGGTGAATCACTTTTATTCTACAGAGGGTCAATGTCTGCTTTACATCTCCCCTCCAGCATCTGCATTCGCCCTGTTAATGTTAAAGGATGTAGAATGCATAGATACTCCTTGCCGAAGGAGGGGGAAATAACGAGGAAGTGTACTGTTGCCTGAAATATATAGAACTTGACATAAACTTTAGTTTGAAAACGTGGTTTCTGTAAAGATAGGTGCTACTTTACACAAAGGACAGAATGTTTCTTAAAAGAGAAATGGTCAAGAGGACAGGACGTCCCTTGTTTGGTGACTAAAGCTGAAAGTAAGAGCTTCCTGGAGGTTTCTCTAGGAGAACTGATTCTGATCATGCCTACCTAAGAAGACTCGGTTTGGCCACTCGATCCCAGAAATGTGTTGGAGAATAGCTTAGGGTAGAAGCATGAACTACAAGAGTTGTGAACTTGTCACCAAATACAGCCACTTCTAATGGAAAAATGTTCATGTAACTTGCATGATCTATATTCAATTACAAAGGCAACTGGCAGGGAGAAATAACAGTAATTGTGAAGGAAATAGAATCTAGTTCTTCTCCTTGTATTCGAACTTAGGCTAGAGAAGTGACCTATTGTCTCTTTTAAAGTATTTACCACTCAAATGTGGGGATAAAGAGAGAGGAACACAGGGAATTGTATTAAACTGGTATTATATATCAGAAGATTTCAGAAGCCAGAGAGATTGGTTGTGAATAGTCAAAGGAGACTCAGAGAGGCTGAGACTAGAACTGAGCCCAAAAGGATAAAAACTATTAAGGGAGGCAGAGGACAAAGATACATTCCAAATAAAGTTTCCCCAGATGGAAAAGTGCATGGCACACTAGGAGGACAGTGAGTAACTCACTTGGCTGGAGAAGCATGCATGGGACATGTTTGAGCTGAGAGAGGTGATGAAAGCGGTGTTAAAGACAATATTGTAAGGCCGGGGAGTTAGCTCAGTGGTTCTGCACCTGCCTTGCGAGTGCAAGGACCTGAGTTTGATACCTGGTACCAAAATAAGAATAATAATAATTATTATTATTATTAATAATAATAATAATAATAAAAGAAAGAAAGAAAAGAAAAGACAATATTGTAGTCATGGGCTACCTAATGGGTGGCACAGGGCAACTGGAGATTAGTCAATATTAGGAAACTCTGCTAAGAAATAGTTCGGGCATGAAGTGTAGCAACTCAGACCAGAGTCAGTGGGAATGGAAGGACCAGCTGACTCAGAAAACATTGCTAAGGCATGATGACCAGGCCTTGCTCACTAATTAAAGTAGGTGGAGGGCTGAACAGAGGAGAGCCAATCAGTGGTGAACATGTGGTTTGCAACCACAGGGACTCAGAAAACAATGCTGTTTTAAAGATACAGTAACAACTAAAAACTTAGTTGAATAAATGTGATGAATTTAAGGCTTCAGTAAGATAGCTGAGGTTTCACTGGAGATGTTTTTCTGCAGAATGATCCTCACTTGGCTTCAAGATCTCACTGAATGACAATATCGTACACTGTTTTCCCAAACTATACAACCTGAGAATCATCCTCATCAATTGTCTCTTTGTAACAGCCAAAAATAATCAGTCTCTAAATTATATTAACTTTAGCTCATTTTTTAACTTACCAACTTTCCCCAATCTTCACGTTTTCACCTTAGATTAGACCACCATTATGTTAAACCTGGCCTTCATAGTTGTCTCAAGTGATACCCTTCCACCCTTCAACTTTTCTATGAAGAAGCCAGAATGCACTCTCCAAATTAAAACTCTGATCTTGCCACCTGCTCATTATATGCCTTTGTTGACTCTCTCTAGATAAATCCTTAACAGGACATAGTGTTCTCGTAGTTGGTAATTCATTCTGTACCCTCCTCTTTTGTCATCCCATGCCTCCCTTCTAGACCCCAGCTATTCTAAGTGTTTACATTTTCTGGAATGGGTCATTCTCCCTCACATCCAGTCCTGCACAGAACTGCCCCTTTGGAATGTCTCTCTTCTTTTACACGCATCATTCCTCACATATCATATCAAAGTATCCCTCCTCAGGAAGCCTTTGCTGACTTCCCAAGGCCACCCTACATACCTCTTTTCTTTGGGTCCCCTTAATATCTTATTATACCTCTACCATAGTTGTATCACTGTGTATCACAATTTGCTTACTTATGTACCTGATGTCCACACTAAACCTGAGGGTTCAACTACTAAAAGTATTTGCTTAGTGAACAGATACATAGAGCAAATATAAATTCAGTGGTGTTGATGTTTAAATTCTTTGACAATCTGGCATCGAGTACTTGCTGTTTTCCATGGTCTATGCTAGAGGTTAGGATTTAACGGTGAATATATTCTCACAAAAGATTTTTCACAAAATGTTTCTCAAAACAAGAAATATACAACCTAGTATTATATGTCAGCAATTAATCACAAATACATTAAACAATGAAAGTATTTAGCAATACTGGGGAGTCAGAATAGGACGGTGGAAAAACAGGCTTTTTTTAAAAAACTCAGACTGAGATTGAAATTGATTCTACATTTTACTGAGCCTTGAACAAGAAGCTTAATGAGATGCTTAACCAATCTTTCAGCTATCATGAAGAAATAAATCCCGGTTTTGGATCTTACTTTGATTAACAAGCTTTGAACATTATACAGTAGATATGCAATACAAGTTATTTCCTTCCCTTTATTTGTAGTATTACTGTATTTGTGTTTTCACTTTTTGAGACTAAAGATATCCTCACATACATCTTACTAATCCATGACAATGGGTGGGGTTGAGGGTAAGGTAGAATTTAGTCACAAGCAGGAGTTTGTATCTTTGAGAGCATTGGTTAGAAAAGAAAGGAAAGGGGAGAAAAAGAAAAGGGTCTCTGGGAAATGGAGACAGTACTGTTGGAGAAGAGCAGAAACTGAGGCTGAGCCTGTTTCTCCACCCTTATCTGAGTAGCACGTTTGCCTAAGGCTGACTTTGACCTTCGACATCAAAAGTTACCAATAGTCTACAAGTGTTTTCTAGGCACAACAGTGCAGTTCACTCGCATCTATTAACACATTTTCTCCTTCCTTCTAAGCAGCAGAAAAGAACTCTGGTATGAATGATCTGAAGGCATCAGCCTTGCCTCTAACCGCACACCTCTGTGTGCACCACGTCTTTCTTCCATCAGCTAATTCTTGGCCACTCCAAGAGATCAGTTTGAGGTCTCGGCTAAATTTCTTAGGCAATCAAAAAAATGAAAAAAAAAAAACTGGGCTTGGGGTGCAGCTCAGCAGCACAGCACCTGCCTGGCAGGCACGAGGTCCTGAGTTCGAGCCTAGGTACCAAAAAGAAAAATATTATACAGCTTAATTTAAAAAGTATGTTCACCCCCAGCTTGTCCCTGTGTATGCAGATTGCTCATGTTTTCTTTTCCTTGTCACTACAGGAATGATTTTAACACTGTTGACAGTCCTGTGTTGTTGCACCAGCAAAAAATAACTGTGAAACAAAATGAGAAAGAAAAACTAAAGATGAGAAACCAAAATTGTTTCAAAAGCAGATGATGGAAGAAAGGAAGAAGAAGACTAAAATTTATAGATGGCCCGAGTATTCCTGTAGAGAACATCAAGGAATCTATACAATAATGACTCTAGAATATGAATTTTAGCATTGTTGCAGAATACAAAGTCAAAAAACAAAACCTGATCATATTTTTATATACTAGTAGTAAACAATTGTAAAATTAAATTTTAGAAATTATGTAAGAGCATCTAAAAACAAACAACTTAGGAAATACTTATATTCAACAAAAGACACGTAAAGAGAACTCCTCATTGAAAACTACAAAACACTCCTGAAAGAAATTAAAGAAGAAACATATAAATGGTGATGTAAAACATGCTCATAGGTTTACTGGAAGACTCCAATTCATAGTTCACTGGAAGTTCATAAGTTTATCACAAGATTCAATTATTAAGATGTCAATTCTAACCAAATTGATGTATGAATTCAGAACAATCACAGGCAAAGTTCCAGCTGGAATTTTCACTGAAATTGACAAGATGGTCCTAAAATTTGGAATGTGATGGACCTAGAATAGCCAAAACAATTTTGAAAAAAATAAGATGGAGAACTTATCCTATGTACAGTAATCAAAATAATGTAGCTTTTGACATAAGATTGACATATGAAACAATGGGTCTGAATAGAATCCAGAAATGGATTCACACTTATATAGCCAATTGATATTTAATAAATGTGGCAAGGAGATTCAATGGTTGTGGAATTTTCTGGAATAATAACACAGTATCACATATTGGGTAAGTTTTGAAGAAATGGGGTTTTACTCACAGTTCTAATGGGCCAAGTTCAAAGGGTTGCATGTCATGATGGCTTTCTTCTTGGCAGAGTGTTGAGGTCACCGGTGCAGGATATCCTATGGTGAGAAACAAGGAGCATGTGTATGTACCTCCTACAGTTCCTCTCTGATGAAGCTACCAGTACTCAGTCAAGGTGGTTCCAACCTGATGAGCTTATCCAATCTTAGTCATCCCCCAAAAATCTTACCTGCTTCCACTGTCTTTATATCTCACAATGAAAGTTAAACTCCAACATGAGCTTCAGAGCAGACAAACTACAATTCCAAGCTGAATATGGTGGCTCATACTTGTGATCCACACTCACACTCAACTTGGAACAATTATATACTCAAAATAAAAAATAAAAGCAATTCACCTCAAATGATATATGAAAAATTTATCCAAAATTATAGAACTAAAATAGGATGTAATGCATTGAAATTCCTAGAGGAAAATAAATTCAAATGACCTTGCCTTATGTATTGAAATTTTTAAAATGTTGCCCTTTTAAAGACTTTAAGCATATAAAAAGATAGCCCAAAGCCTGGAAAAAAATATTTGCAAAGTATACGTATTCAACAATGGGCTGATACCCAGATATATAGAATCCTTACAGCTTGATAAGAAAACAAACAGTCTTGTAGAAAAACATGCAAACAACTTGAACCAACACTGCTAATGAAAGTATGTTAGTGGAATAAAAATATGTAAACCATATTATTCACTGGGGAAGTAGAAATTAAAACTACAAAGATAGGCCAGTATGCAACCATTAGAATGACTATAATTAAAAAGATGAGAAATGTCAAATGTTAATGAGGGTGTCCAGCAACTGGAACTCTGCTTCACGACTGGTGGGAATGTAATAGGGCACAATCACTTTGAGAAAGCTGTTAGTAATTTCTTTAAAAATTAAACATATGATGCAGATGTTCCACTCTAAGTATTTACACTAAAGAAAACACGTCCACCCACAGACACAAATATTTATAGCTGCTTTGTGCACAGTAACCAAAAATTGGAAATAATCCGAGCAGCTTTCTGCACAGTTGGCAAAAACGAAACAATCCAGATGTTCACAACAGGTGATAAACAATATAAGTGGTGCATCTATAAAATGGAATAGTATTGAACAATAAAAAGAAACCAAATGAATTTGTGCCAAAATCATTAGGTTTAGGGTAAGAAGCCAGAACTGAGTGCGGTCCTGTTTCTACAAGATCCTAGACAATACAAAAAAAAAGCTATTTCAAAAAGAAGTCAGTTTGGGAGCCAAAGACGGAAAAAGCAATGGACAGTAGTGGGGAAAAAGAAGTCTTGGGAGGAAACGGAAATCTTGTTTTGTAGTGGTGGTTTCATAGATTATACATTTATGCACTGTAATTGAATGCAGCAAATTGTACACAAAGAATACTTTGCTAAAGTTGATTTAAAATAAATCAGACAAGAGTAGTCTAACGCACTGTACCTACAAACTAATCTCAAAGTTGTACTCAACTTTTCCTTTGAAATAACACCAATTTCCTCACCTGGTTCATGTAATGGGACCCATTGTATTTTCGACTTTTCTTCCTCTCATGCATACCACACACACCACTCCCACTGCCATTCTACACACACACACACAGGAGGAAATCTTCCACTTAATGCAACATTTCTAGGCTTTCCTACAACAACAACAACAGTGTACTGTGTATGCATGTCCTTTCTATAGAACAGCTGCGTTGGAAGGCAAGTGATACTTACAGAGTAAGAAGTAGGAATTATGTAATGGTCAAAGTAACTGTGATTAGGCAGAAATCATACCACTTTAGGGTAGACTGTTGAGGAAGAAGGGGACAGTTCATAGATAAACTGATCACCACTGTTTCCTCACCTCCAGGGAACCTGCTACATGTGGAGTCAGATTTAAAAAGACATTTCCTTCAATTCAGGGAGCACATTCTTCTGGTAGAGAATCCTTAAAGCTTCAATTATTCCAATCCTATAATTTGCCGCTATCCTAAAATCTATCTCAATAATTTTCTCCTGACCCCAAAAAAGGTTTTATTGGCATCCAGAAAACATCCCATCAACCTCTTTACATCCCCAGTGCTGTTATTTTGACAACCTGATGACTGATGCTTGTGCATCGTCTGAGTTCTAACACTCTTGAATTCCAGCAATATTTTCTGACTCAGGCAGCAGTCACCTTAACTTCATACTAAAGGCCAGCTAAAGCTCTGGAATCCTGAGATTTCATTGAATATGACCATAGCATATTTAATACCTGCCAGTTGCCCCATGGTCAGAGAGTATAAGTGGAAGGTCTGCACAGGGTATTGATCAGGTTTCTGGAAGCAGTAGAAATCATAGCTGCCTGTACAGGTGTACAAAATGCAAAAGTTTCATATGTACTGTGTGCACCTATATGAATCCATCAAAGAACATGGTAAACGTTTTGCAGTATATTATGGAAATGTATGAAGGGCATTAGAGAAATATTTTGGAAAGGAAAAGAAAGTGGCACAAATCAAAATCTTAACCCAGGAGATTATATGCCTAGACTTAGTAGAATATACTGTGGTTTAAAAAAAATGGAGAAACTGATATAAAATTTTAAACTCAAAGAATGCTCAGGAAGGCTGAGTAAAAATGGCAATGGCTCTTTTCTAGAATCTTTAAAAAGCATTAGTTCTCCTACTTTAAACTGACTTTAAACCACAGAGAAAGAATAACTTAATTTTTTATGATTAGCCAGTCTATTTTAATGGCAACTCAAGCTCTGTGGTTTTTATTTCATGAATATTGTAGATTTGTTCTAACATAGGAGCAAGGAGAATGATGATTAAGCCTATTGAAATTAGTGATTCAGGCTTAGACTAGAGGAGAAGTAGAAGATCAAAGAGAATTGGAAAGGATGATTTCAGATTTTCCAATTCCAGAAAACTGAATGCATGCACAGAATATAACAAAGCATTTGAGCTACTTTGGGCTAAATGCCCTTTTAAAGTTCTTCCTGTAGGCTCCTTACAATTTTTTAAATGGATTTAAGGACTTGATAAGGATGTCAAAGAGACCTGTTTACCAGCTGTTTTGGCTAAAAGTTCATTTTAAAAATTCAGAGGTGAGGGCCGGGGATTTAGCTCAGTGGATGTACCACCTGCCTCGCGAGTGCAAGGTCCCAAATTTGATCCCCAATCAAAAAAAAAAAAAATTCAGAGGTGAGATTTACAAACTTTGAATCTCTGTATGTCTTTAGAAGACAATCACTGGAATAAAAATTGAAATCAGATTTTTATATCAGATTTTTGAATACTGGAGCAATCTAGTGTTCTGTTTTAATCCATATGTTTAACATTTCTTGAATCAGCCTCTTTCTGGCTTCATAAGCCATTAGGGAACGCCTATGTTTAATTGTATAAGCCAGTGTGACCCACAATGCACCAGGGTATGAGCCTAATTTAAAATTTTTTCTCAAAAACAGGCTCACATCCTTTTCACCTACTTTCAAGGATCTCTCTTCTACATCAAGGAAAATTTCTCTTTCTTCAAAAGAGTTACTAAGAATCCTTGAAGGATTTCTATTGTTGAGTGAGTTTGATGCTATGATAAGTACATGCAGAACTGTTCTAGGGCTCCTAATCTCCAATTCTAGGCAAGCTGGGGTTTTGAAGTAAGAATTTTGCACACCCTGCCATTCTCTGTTCAGTCATAGACAAGAGAAGGATCCAGACAGAAACACTTTCAGAGGCAAACAATGGTTTTTCAAACTGGGGAATCATCAGTAGGACTTTTCCTTTGACTCAGATAGATGGCATAAAACATTTTTCTAAATAAAAAAATTACAGTTCTGAGTGAGCTAAATTATTTAAAATACTCTAATATATAACCATCTTTTTGGAGGAGCAGAGTTGAAATCCATGCTTTTAGCCTGAATTTTTTTTTTTTTTACTTATACTACTTTAAAGGAACAACATTATATTTTATTATTCCTTGTAATTATTGGCTATATTCAAAAACACATTTCTCACTTGTTTTGTTCATTGTTAATATGAAAATAAAAATAGACTAATTTTTAGGTGAGCAAAATTTTCCCTTATTGGTTAGCTTACATGGCAATTGGAGAAAACAGGTAAGATAACCTAGCACTTACCAATCACTCTAAAGAATGAATGCTTCCGTGTTTTTTCTATCTTTTGTCTTGGGTTTTGGCTTCTTTCTCCTTTACAATGACACTTTGTATCTTATGGCTTCATTTACTTTTCTATTTCATTCCTATATTAATGTTTGAAATATAGATGGTAGTCATCCAAATATTGCTAAACATACTGTTGTTTAGAAGATGATTGTGATTGGATGACTTTTTTACCATAAAGCAAAACAGTAACCACTTGCTACTTTCAAGTTACTGGGGGGAAAAAGATGAAAACCCAGTATTTAAAAATGATCTTTGGGCAGCGTTTTACATTAGACTATTTTTTCACCTTTAAATTTTTTCTTTCATCTTTTTGCCAGTGGTAACTGGAGTCCATTGCTTAATTTTCTTCAGCATAATCTCATCTCTCTTTTCTTAAACGGCTATTACCAACTTATGCATACCTTAGAGCATTTTTGAGGGAGCTCACATACAGATAAAGACTCAAAAACTATGCCATTCTGTTTTGCAAATCAAGTTTACTTGGTTAGGATAGGAAAATGCAAAAGTAGTGTTCCCTCACTGCAAAATTCCCTCTCAGGAAATGATAAAGCAGGAAATGATAAATTTGACTATATGCAGCATTTGAGATGTTGGATCAGATACGCTTACTACTAAGTACTCAGGATTTTGTTTTTCATTGTTCTATCACATCACCCAAAGAAGGAAGAGAACCTGCACCACTCTTCCTGAGAATAATTAAGGATTGATTTGCTATCTTTGGAATGTACGATGGAGTAAATTCCAGAGAATGCGCCTATCTTTGCCAGGGGGCAGTAGAAAATATATGTCACTCTCAAGAAAATATCTCTGATTGGACATTTCATTAATGATGAGGAGTTATGTTTTGGGCGTAAAGACTGCTCTGAAATTCAGCCCTGAGACATTCTGTTTTAATAGACAGGCAAAGATGCAGCCTAAGAAAAAAAAACTACGTTATCACGTGTATATTTATAAAAGCTCCACATCTCTTCCTTTGCAGACATCGGCTTTGGCAGTGATTCTTATTCTCCCTCTGATGTTCATTAGATTATATGACCTTGAATGAATCAAATAACTTAAGAAATAACTCAAAAAGTTGTTTTCGAGATTAAATAAATCCAAGATGTCCAACATTCAGCACTCTGTCTGGCATACCAAACTAACTCATTAAATACTAATTTTCTCTTTTCTCCATATGTGGCATTCTAAATGTATTTGGTATCCCACTTGGAATTTTATATAAGCTTTGGGAAAATAAGGTGAATATTTTTCCTTTAGGAGCACTATGAAAGAATTTATCCCAACCACTGCCCCCCCACATAATGAACAAAAGTGTGTACTATTTTGTGAAAATTGAGGCCAAAGCTCTTTTATAGGTCTTGAAGCTAATTAAGTATTCCTGCACTGTGACACATTGTTCTCCTTTACCTGATCAAAGCAGTTGGAGGTTAAAACAAGTGAGAAGCAGAACAGTTCAAGAATCTTGATCATTGGTATCAAACAAAAATTATTTGTATCTAATAATGTACTTAAGAAAGTACACAGGGAAGGATCCCGACTGAGATTCACCCCGACACTGTGAAATGACAATTCTGCCATTTCTTCCTAGATTTGAGTGTGTACTTAGTGCCATATTCTTGAAACAAACAAACAAACAAAAAAATGAAATGAATAATGGGACAAAGGAAAGGGATCCTCCAAATCTCCTCTCCCCACCCCGGGAGAAAGGGATGAAATTGGAGGTTTTTAAAGGTCTAAGCATTCTGTCTAAAACAGGACATGGCCAAAAGCCTGTGTTGGGACTCACATAGATACCATTTTTGTTCAGTGCATAAATCCTTTCGAAGGACCTGCACCCTAAAAAAACTGAACTACTTCCCCCTCCCTCAGACTGGTCCACCAGCCAGTTATCTGTGTGCTGATTTCCCTGCATCCATTATACCTCAAACACTGAAACTTTTATTCTAGCCTCCTTTTGGGCTTAGGCATGGGCATTTGCCACAATTCTGGATAATTCTTTCAGAAGTCTTCTAGATTACAAATTCTTAGGAAAGATATTTTCTCTGCTGAAAGGATGTAAAAATTATGAAACTGTCCTTTCTTTTCTCTGAATATACTTATTCAAGCTATGACATGTGGAGAGGAAGTAGCCATTTTGGAACCACAAGAGAACCAACCTCAAGATGAAACCCAACACACTAAGAACATTCCCCCTTAAAGACGAAGAGGATACCTTGGTTCTTGGAGACTTCATCTTAGCTATAAACCTCTGGTTAAGTCCATACATTTCCTTTATGCTTTGAACTATTCTAGCTAATGTGTACTTTACTTATCCCCTGAAGTATCCCATAATAGTTTTATCAGAAAATGAAAAGAGACTTTAAGCTGCTAAAGCTGGAAAAATGAGTGAATAGCAGGCTTCTATGCCATGTGACCAAGAAACGTTTGAAACACATCACCTTCAACTACTTTGCCCTTTTTTTAAAAATTCCCATCAGTACATGTTGATGATAGTCATTCATCCACAAAATAAACTTTCACATCCTATTATGTGCAGGACTGTCAGATAAATACAGATAAATTATATATATATATATATATATGTGTGTGTGTGTGTGTGTGTGTGTGTGTGTGTGTGTGTGTGTGTATACACACACACACATTAATGCTAAAATTTATTCATTATTTATCTGAATTCCAAATTTACCAGGACATCTGCATTATTCACTTTCAGGTCAGTGGGACAGAATACCCAACACCTGCAAATGGAGTAGAGGGTTATTTGGGTTCATGCTTTCAGAGGGTTTAGCCATGCATGGGTGCCTGGCTCAGGGGAGAGGCATGGTGGAAGGGTATCATGGAGAAAAGTTGTTCTGTGCATGGATTCTGGAAGCAGAGACAAGGGAGGAGCCAGGAATGAAAATACTCCCTCCCAGTGACACAGCTCTTCTGACGGCTGCACTTCCTAGCAGCAAATGTAGCTAGGAACTCATTGGTGGACTATTAATCCAATGATGATTACAGCATCCCCATGATCCAGTAACCAGTTAACTCTCCAAAGCACCAACTCTGACTGCAATGGCCTTTCAGGGGACCTTTTAGATCTAAACTACAGCAATGTCCTCTATTAATATGTGCTAAATGTGAAAACCTTAATACAACTCTATGTTGTGATAGGCTTTGGGGATTCAACACATTCCTTATTTCAAGGAACTCATCTCCTGTGATGCCTTTGGTGATTCTAATGTACAGATTGGCTGGAAATCCAGCACCTTTGAAATCCTGATTCGACTCCACATTCTACATTTGAAGAAACTGAAGTCTGAACAGGTCATGATTTTCTCAAAAGCACACAGCTGCTCAAGGGCAAAGGTGAAACAAATTATTCCCACATTCAAGATACTCTTTCCAATTGCCTTATTGTTGGCTTCTAAACGAGGCTGGCACATTTAGAGCAAACTCCTACACTTAGAGGAGAAAGCTGTTGCCCCTTTAAAAGACTTTCAAAGTTGTTCCTTTGTTTCACCTAAAATTATTTGGAAAAATTTACAAGGAGTGAGTTAAGGTTTCTGAGTCGCTCTTAATAATTCTTTTAGGCAACCAGAGCAAACTTTGCTCATTATAATACTAAATTCTCTGTCAAGAAGCATTAGTGGGTCCTTTCTGAATGTGCACTCTGTGACTTTAAACTGAGAATGCTCAGAAATGTGCCCACCCCTGGGTGTGCTTTTCTATCTAAATATGCCTATGTTCCCCAGTGAAATCCCCACATAATGTTCAGAGAAATCATTGCTTTATACCTAACTCCTATGCTCTCCCTACTTGCTATAAATAACAAACCTCTCTAAATTTGCTGGGTTTGCACTCACCAAAAGGTAAACCCATTGCATTAACTTGTATCTTCCCTTCTTTTCCTAAAGGGTTCTTATTTGAAAGTGACGGGGGGGGGGGCTAATAGTGTTTGACTTGGCAAAGAGAAAAACGTTTATAATCTAAATGGTCCCATTTCCTGTCATAAGAATGGTAATCGTCCTTGAGTCGCTTAAGTTTCTTACGGCAGAATAGTATTTTGAACAAGACTTAACATCCTGAAAATCTCACCCAAATCTGTAGAAACACTTGTCTGAAGAGAAAATTGTCCACACATCATTGGTATGTGATAATGTATGTCTGATATATATATATGATATATTGATATATATGATATATATGATATATTGATATATATGATATATATGATATATAGCTTATCACATATAGCTCATTTGAGTGATATGTATTCAAAGCTATAAAGTTACTGTAATTTTCAAGTATCACTGTTTTCCTTTAAGTTTCCTCATGTTGTTTATCTTGCTAATATTTTGATCAAGACTGACAAATTCCAAATCTCAGTAAACAATGAGCTTTGCTTGAAGTTTTAAAACAAAGAGCCTGATGACTTCAGTGAAAATGTCATCATTCCTGCTTAAAGAGCTCATTACAGAATTCAAAGTTTTCTGGACAGGCTGCCTCCCACTGCACTGCAACTCAAAGATCACCAGGGCAGAGAGCTCACATTTTTGTCTAGAAACTTTTCCTTTTTACCTCTTCTGAATCTCTCATTATTAAGTGATAGCATAAATCACGTGACTGTCTCTCAGAGACTAGGTTAAGTCAGTCTTCCACTTAAGATCTTAATCTAACAGGTTCTCTCTTGCCTTCATTTCTCATGTTTCCTATCTGCCAAATAAAACAATGTTAAAGGCTAATAAAACAAATTTACTTTAATAAAAATAATTTCAAAACATTTGTAGAGCATTAGACTATACAGTAGTTGGAAAATTCCAGAATCAATATAATAAATTCATATGATTTTTGTAATTCCTTATAATGGAAAGCATCAAAATTGCAGTCCTTCAGAGGTGCAGACCCTTGAGCAGTACATTCAGTTATAGTTTATGAGTCCTGTAAGGGCCATCAAAGTCAACTCTCAGTTGCTCCAATTTAAGTGTGTCCAATTTAAGAGAAATGCACATGTTACCATGTCACAAACAAAAACTCTGCAGCTCAAGTGTCCTTAGCACAGGCAAGGAAAGTATGAAAAGTAAAAGATGTTCCTATTTATAGTTAAAATATTAAAGCTACAGTGTTCAACCTTTCCAATTAGTTTTTTAAAGTAAGTCTCTACACAGCCCCAAACTTCCTACTGTTTGGCTATTTCCAAAACTCAACTTTATTCTCAAAAGACAAGAGGCATCACTTCTGAGAGGAGTCATTTTTTGTAGTATACATTGTTATGCTTATTGATCTTTTAAAATGAATTACATTATAATTTCACTTTGTATAGATGACACTGTTATCCCACGACAAGTATTTCTGTCTACAAAGTGTTAAAATACACTACTGAGACTTCTACCTGCAGGACAGAGTCTGTCTTACCTGCCTGGGCATGTTGTACTGAGTTGAGGTCACAGTTACAGTTCCACAAATAACATTCCAAACGTTTTTCTCCCTCTGAATTAACAGGGCCAGTTAGAATTTTTCTCATTCCCATTGGTTAGAAATTCTGACAGAGGGACCTAAGGAGCTCTCCAGTTCTAGAATAGAGTGAACGCTATTCACATGACCTGCATGAGGTACCAGTCCAAGTCTTCTACCTCTGTGCCCTCCTGCCCTTTAGCCGGCATGACTCAACACTTGAAAATTGGGCAACCTGACTGTGAATGTCCTATTTGAACTTTGACTTCAGAGGAATGGCATGTCTTAAAATGTTGTCCATTTACTAATTAACAGAGAAGATGAAATTCTCCAAACTGTGAGGTAAAGCTAAGTTCAACTTTTAACACAAGATCGCTGTGTTAATTCTGTTAGGTTTCCTGACATCTATGCCTTTATATATGTAGATGATGAGACTATTATATGTTATGCCTTTGGACCTTTTTCTTCTTTCCTCAGACTCCCAGATATGGGAAGGTGTTCTCCCACTTGTCAGATCTATTCACTGATAAAAGTCATTAAATAATTATTGATGAAAGAGCTACCATCCCATGGTTGTAAGGAGATTCTTTTGAAAGTTATTAGACAATTAATCACTGGGAGCTTTCGATAAGAGGATATGCAAAGTATGGCCAAGGACATACTTTACTGTGAACAGTGTGAGCTACTGACTTGAAGTTGTTCTTTCTTAAGAGATTAAAGAAAAATATCTCAAGTCAGGTGTGGTGGCACACACCTGTAATCCCAGCACTCGGGAAGTCGAGGCAGGAGGATCGCTGTGAGTTGGAGACCAGCCTGGGCTACATAGTGAGTTCCAGGTCAGTCTCAACTACATAGTGAGACCCTGTCTCAAAAAACCAATAAATAAATAATAAATAAATAAAATCTCATTCCTTAATATGCAGATGCTCTTTGACTTATGTGGAATTATATCCCAATGGACCCACTCTAAGTTGAAAATATCTGAGAAAATACATTTAATACACCTATAGTATCATGCACATCACAGTTTAGCACCGCAGTATAATGTAGAGGGGACCAACTCTTCATCCCCAGCTCACTGATGCTGCCCAACATCGTAAGACAGTATTAATGTGCATGTGATTAGCTTGAGAAATGATCGAAATTCCAAGTATACTTTCTACTGAGTGAGTATTGCTTTGGCAAAATCATAAAGTCAAAAATAAATCCTAAATTGAGCCCTCATAAGTCAAGCCATCATAAACGAGAGACCATCTATACCATGAGTACAAGTGTAGGAAGGACATGGGGACTTGTGCAGGGATACAGAAGGTTTTTAGAAATATATTTTTTTAAAAAAACTGTGTTGGAGTGTGTAAGTTCTTCTCTCAGTGACCTCATTAAAACAGTCCTGGCACAGGCCAGGTGTGGTGGTGCATGCCTGGAATCCCAGAGTTCTAGGAGGTTGAATAAGGAAGACTGCAAATTTGAGCCCAGCCTTGGCAAATTAGTAAGTCCCTATCTTGAAATAAACATAAAGACAAGAGCTGGAGACATAGGGAGTGAATTTGATCCACCATACGGTGGGTGGGGGATAAAATAAAATACAGTTCTGGCCCTATGTTCAGTTAACTCTTCTAAGAGTTACTAATCCATATATTATTATTGTTGTTGTTGTTGTTGTCTAAAATCCATCCAAGTGTTTCATTGTCAACAGTATCCCCAAATGACAGAATAGGAAATTCTCTCTCAAATAAAATAATTTCAGTATTGTCATCCTACTCAGCTTCCTCTCAAAGCCATGTTTAATTCTGTCATGGATATATGTGTCTGGATTCTTTTGAATCCACTTATCTCATAAAGAGATTATGTAACTCAATTGAGTACATAACTATGTTTCATTATTTTAGTGAAATATCTTACTGACATTTATTGTTCTGAGAGTATATCCTGTTCATTTGCTATAGCTTAATTATTTTTCTTATAGACGTGAATGCTTTCAAAGGAGGGCTGAACAATATTCTCCCAATACAACTTTTGTTGCTACTTTTAGCTTATATTTAGACACAAAGAATAAGGCAGCTTTCACAAAGATACTGAGAATAGCACTAACTTCCATCTACTAATACCTTTCCTTAGTATTAACTGGTGAATAAATGCTTAGTTACAATAATTCTGATAGACTCATAATGCCACCTAGTGGATAATCTTCAAAATACCATCCCATGGGCCATTCTTACAGCTATCAAGGTAGTCTTTATTCTTGAGGAAATAGCCCAAGCTACTAACCAAGAATTACTGATTTGGATCACTCAACCCTGAGACAAATCTATGCTGTCTTTTCTAACATTGGTGCCATCTAGAAAAAAATGAACTTATCTTGTATATCTTGGCCTCCTCCCATCTTCAGTGGATGGAGCTAATATCTTAATAAAGTGTTTCTGCACCAAGTGATAATTCACTGCACTCCATTTATCCTTATTTGTAGCATGCAGTGTCAGGTTTCTATGCTTACCTTCCGGGGTTTACAAACAGAATTACTGAGTTCTCTTGAAGACCATGAGTAATAAATGACATGTATGTAGCAGTCTCTTAAAATATAAGATTTTTACAATTTCATGGACTCTTAACAGCCACGTTGTGATGGTGAGAGCTGCTCATGGGGCACCTGAGAAAATTATGGTTAATGGATCCTAAGTGATTTAGGTACGTACAAAGAATTCCAAATTCAGTCAGAGCTTCTCAAAATTTAAGCTCAATGATTCTCCATAAACTAGTATAGATCTTTTCTAGCCTGGCACTGGTCCACTGGCACTGCTACTACATAGTAGAATATTGAGTGACATTTCATGGGAAAGGAGAGCTTCTCTCAGAAATGCCGAGATGGTTGCATATTCAAGTACCTAATTACCTAGTTCTCTACTTTAGCAAACATGAAAGGAAAAAATATGGTTATGTCCACAGATGCTTTTAAAGGATTGGATAAAACTCAGCCAACATTCTTAATGTAAGACACAGGAGGTTGTAAAAGAAGGCTGTAACAGAGTGATAAAGACTCTGTGAGAACCCCACTGTAATCCTCACATGTAATGGTGAAGCATCGTAGCAGTGTACTTGAAGCCCGAAGCAATGCAGAAAGACAAGATGGAGATTTAGTAGGTACACGTAGTTTGGTAAACAAAGAACATCTGAGAATTGATTTAAAAAATCATTGTATATAAAGTGGTTAAGAAACCACACCAGAGATATGTATGAAGAGCAATACTTTCCTATGCACTTAGAAACTATAATAGAAAATTGTTTCCATATATAATAGGAAACGAAAAACACTGAAAACACAAAGAAAATCAAATAAGCCAAAAACAGTTAGGAATAACTACCATCGCGTCTCGGCTGTGTCCATCCACTGAGGACCCATGCTGAAGCCCCGACAACCCGGGAAGCATCTGCCCACCTCCAGCTGATGCTGCGGCTCACCAGGCCAGATGCCAGAGTCTGAATGACAAGGGAACTGAGAACCTGGATACTTTACAGCACAGGGCGACGGAGTTGATGACCAACAGACTTACCCAGGTGAAGAAGAGACCGACACACAGCAGAGCCTCCCTTCAGGACTGAAGTGACGACTGTCCACAGAGACTGGGTGAGAGACAGGCTTGGAGAAGGTGAGTGCTAAATAGGTACCTCCTGGGATGTCATGGGAGGCCTATGTTCAGACCAGGAAGATCCTGGGGCTTGTATTCTGTTGTGAGATGCCAGGTTTGCTGAGAGTAATCATCAGAGGAGCGCTCCTGAAGAAGGCATTTAACTTAGTGGTATGTTTGAGCTCTAGCACTGCTACCAACATCCAGCAGGAGTCAGTGCTCTGAATTGCTATAGTTCAAGATGGTGGGAGGGTGGTTATCATAAGTTAGAGTCCTCTTTGTTTTAGTGAAGGGCTGTGCATGAGTGGTTCCTAGGCTTTGTCAATAACTAGCTGACATTTGATGCCATTGTTTTCCCTGAATTTGCTATTATAGTCAAGGTAGCAACATAACAGTAGCCAGCAGTTGGTTTTCTATTCTAATACCTGGACTGCCTGGGGAGTCAAACAATACTGTGGGTTACTACTAAAGAACAGAGCCCTGGACCAAAGAAAACTGTAGCGTGCATACACACACACACGCACGCACACACACACACACATCCTACCAGAAACACAAAGAGACAAGGCAACAAAATGATTTGCAACTGTCCCAAAATAAGTACAGGGGGTAGAATTTATAAGCTACACAGCAGATAGATCAGAAAGGGTACCAATGGGGGAAAGACAGTTCTGTAAGGTACTTGGCAAATTTAAAGAAGATACAATCAACTATATAATGGCTATAATGAAATAAATGATCAGAATGTCTAGAGAAGACACTAATAATCAGCTAGTAGAGCTAAGTAAAGAAATGTAAGACATGAATGCCCAGCATATGAAATAATTGAAGCCCACAAGAAAATTCCAAACAGAAATCTAGGAGATTGAAAACATGAAAGTATGGATAGCAGCAGTGGACATTGTAAAGACAGAACATCAGAACTAGAAGACAAGGCCATGGTCAATGATCAGTTCATGAAGATACCCTAAAAACAACAAGGGAACATGAAAAATGGACTCAACAGCCCCAAATGACAAAAAGACATCTAATGTACAATAATTGAAATTAGTAGAAAATAAGAAGACAGCACACAGGGCATAAAAAACCTGTTTACACAAATAATAATAGAAAAATTTCCAGGCATAGAAAAACGACAGTCACCTTTATCCCCTTTCTTCCTATTTCACATTGTCCATTGGGAAGGGTAGGGGAAAGATAATAAGGGAAAAAAATATGAGAAAATGAAGAAATGGAAATAAAAGTGTTTGTAAAGGGGTGAAGGGGGGCAGGGACAAGGGGAAAAAATGATAACCAAGACCTGTTATGTAAAGGTACAAGATCCCAGTGATGAATGTAACTGTACTGCATACCTAAAATGTACCAATAAACTCAATGAGGAAAAAATAAATAAATAAAATCCTAAAAAAAAAAGAAAAACAACAGTCACATAAGTAA